GTAAGTCCTAGGGAGGCCACACAGAGTCTCGGGTCGGGGAGGCCCAGAGTGGCAGGGCAGGCGTGGTGAGGCCGTGCACCCGAGTGAGTGGGGGCCTGGGGCTCACGTCCAGGATTCTTTCTCCCCTCTCGTTTCCTTGAGGGAGGGCCTGGGTCCGAGTGCCAGGGGAAGGGAGGCGGGGAGCAGCCTGGGTTGTGCTGGGCTGAGGGAGCCGCGCGGTTGGGGCGCCCATGTGAACTGGAGTTTCTGGTCCCTCTCCTGTGGTGGCGGCACCCTGAGCCTACAGTGGCTGCTCGAGAAGGGTGTGCAGACCTGGTCTCACTGTAGAAGTGCCTGTCGGGCTTGGGGTTGGAGGCTCGACGGCACCTGGCTGGGGCCATTGCCGCCTGTTTTGACCTCGTTCGCATTCAGCAGGTTTGGGTTCTTTTTCGTTCTCACATGAGTGGGTCTGGGAGACACTGGATGCTGTCTCGCTGTCTGGTGACCCGTACCAACCCTTCCTGGGCTTGGGTGTGGCCAAAAGTCCAGGGCTCTGTCCCTGTTGACGAGAGGTCAGGCGGTCACAGTGGGTGATGAGGCCTGCGGGCCCTGGGCCACCATCTGGCGATTGTAAAACGGGCAATACACATTTTGGAGGGTTCCGCGGAGGAACAAAGTGCAGCCGGTGTGGGGCCGCCCCTCGCTCCTGGGCAGACACCTTCAGCCGGTGTCTGCCTAGGGTGAAAAGTTCAGGCTGTCCCATCTACAAAGGGAGTTGGGGGTGGGGCAGAGCGCTCACTTTTCTTTCCTTTGGGGCCCTGGATCCCGGGGGTGCACTGCAGGACCCGCGGCTGCCTGAAACCCCTGAGCAGACAGAGCAGGCCTCGTGCACTTTGCAGGACGCTGAGCTGGACAAGTTTGGGGCTAGGCCTTGGATGAACAGACAAGTTCACAGGAACCCCTCACCCCCGGCTTGGGCTGCGTGGGTTTGCTCTGTGCACTGCAGGCGATGCCCCCGGTGATGGGGGAGCGTGAGGACCACTGGGACATTGCCCTCACCTGTGGTTGATGGCCCTCATGCTGCCACCTCACCATCCGTAGCACGTTCTGGGGCTCCAGGTAGAGGGCACCCGCCTCCAGTAATCTGTGTGGTACTTGGGGCGCTGGGGGTGGGCGACAGCCTCCTTCTTACAGGGTGGAAGTTGGCTGCACACAGCTCTGCGCCTGGCAGCCTTGAGGGCCTGGGAGGTCCCCATTGTAACTAAGCGCTTGTCTCCTTGCGAGCATTCCTTTTAGGAGGGCCTCCAGTGTCCCACTGCTCAGTTCCCCTCGGGTATGCTGGCCCTGTCTCTGTGCTGCTGCCTGCCCAGGACTGACCCAGGCACTCGCTTTGTGCCGAGCTCCTGCCCACAGAAACCTTTGTCTCTCATGTCCCCACAGGCTCCCCTGGGCAGGGATGCAGCCTTTGTCCCCAAGAGGCTCTTGGGTGACTGCCCAGTCCACAGGGACTTGGGGGACCCTCGGGCACCCTTCCTTAGGCCCAGCCGGCCACTGAAGGGCCAGGAGGTGACGACGACATTTTGCTGATGGCTTGAGAGGCTGGTGCTGGGGCAGAAGGGCTGCCTGGCCAGGTTTGCAGAAAGCCTAGCCTCTTCCTAAAAGGGGACTGGCTCCCCAAAGCAACAGGCAACATTCCTGGGGGAATTCGGCTGTGAGGAGGCTGACGCTGTCCTGTTCCCGCGTTCCTTTTTCTCCAGAGAGCACTGGCCTCTGTGGGCAGGTGCAGGGCCAGTGGAGCCCCGGGGTCTGGCGAGGGCGAGTTGGGGACACCCCGCCTCCCAGCCCCCTCCCTGCACTCCAGGCCTGCAAAAGGCGGGGTCGAAAGGTCACTGCCCTGATTTTTATGGCGCCTCTTGCGTTCTCACGACCCCTCGCCCTCCTCAGAGACAGGACAGGACTGGGGCTCTGACAGGGTCTTTCAGGGGATGAAAAACATGCTGAAAAGCCTGACGGGACAGTCAGTGAGGGGAGACAGCTCAGTGGCTTGGACATGGTGTCAGAAATTGAGAGAAAACACACACGTGCACATCTGGGCTCAGGGCGGATGGAAGTGGGAGTGAGCTGGGTCCCAAGCCCTCCGTCCCTGCAGGGACGTGGCCAGAAGGGGCCCACGTAGTCCCCAGGGCGGATGTGCAGGGGCTGTTGGCCGGCTCAGGCCCCGAAGCCCCCCGAGCCTCTCCTGAAATCATGGATGGTGGGTTGTGCTGCTGCCTTGTCACGGATCAGCCCCCCAAAATCAGCCCCTGCCATGTCTGGTGAGTATCGCCCTTGATGTGGCCACGTGCTGCCAAAGCCCAGGCTTCTCTGCTGCCGTGTACATCTGGTCCTCAGCGTTGGGGACTCATTTCTGCCCCTGTGTCACAAGTGCCTGTTCCTCTGGACCCTGGAGCAGGCCGAGAGCCTTTTAAACAGGGCCCCGCCTGCTGTGACCCCCAGCGCCAAGCCCGCCTTGGATGTGCTGCTTCCCAGGGGCTGGTCAGGTGGCAGGAGCACCAGGCCTTAGATCAGGAGCCCTGCGGTGGTGACACTAACCGCTGTGAGAACACAGGCTGCCTGGCTCTGCCTCCGGAAGACATTTGTCATGTGGCCCAGATGTCCGTCCCAGGCTCGCTCCTCCCAGATGACCCCTGAGGCCATCTGGTCCTTTATCCTGTACTGTCAAGGGGCCCACCTGGGACTCGGGCCCTGCCAGGCTCCGGTCCGCTCTTGGACATGCTGGGTGGAGGGTGGGTGCACCGTGTCCTGGCGCCTGTTTGTGGGTGAGGACCTGGCAGCCCCCCGGCCTCCTTGTGAGACGTGTGTCAGCACATAGCGGGCAGGAGGGCCGCCAGCTTGCTCTTTGCTCTGTAGAGTCAAGCCTCCTGAGACACGCTGCCCGGGGGCAGTTCCTGTGGCCGCGGTGTCACAGGAGCAGGTGTCGTTTCCGGTGGGTCTGCTCCGGTGGGGTAGCTGGCTGAATGGACTGAGGGCTAGACCGCTGGGACATGTCTGCCAGGCCACTCCGGGCAGTCGCTCGGCCAGGTGCTCTGGGAAGGAGCCTCGAATGTAGGTGTCAGAGATGTGGTGACAAGTGGCTGGGCCATGTTCTGGTCACAGAGGTGTCCATACTGCTTTGTATTTTTGGCGACCTCTTGACCCTCGTCCTTCAGGCTGGTCAGGACTTGTGCCATGACTCCTGGCAGGTCCCTTGATCCTGGGATATCAGCTGCCTCGTGTGTGACAAGGACAGGCTGACAGGGTGGCTGCTGGGCAGGGCCCGAGCAGGAACCCGGGAGACAATTCCAGCTCCTCTCCCCGCCTGTAAGAGAAGTAAAGTGGGCTCCGAGCACTGTTCAGTGACCTGCGGGAGCCCAGAGTGACTCTGACAATATAGCTCTGAGCAGACCCCGGCCTCTGGAAGGAGCCGTCATGGCTTCTCACTGGTGGGACCTGGTGGCCATGTGTGTGCGGGGTGAGTTGGGCTCCAAAGATGAGGGATTGGCCCGAGTGCTTGGTGCCCCAGAGTGGAGGGTGCACAGAGGTGCAGGAATGAAGAGGGGCAGGGGACATGGGCCGGGGTAAAGGGCACAGCTGGCACCGAGGTGGCCCTGCCCTCGGACCCTAGAGATGGCACGGCTGAGACGGTGGGCAGCTCACCGGTTCCTGGGATGACGAGAGAGGCGTTGAATTGCAGGGTGGACACGGCTCTCTCCTCCCCGCTCCCTCCCACAGCTCAGCCCTCTGTCTTTCGGTTCTGTTGCTGGACCGGGCTGGAACGCTGGTGTTTGGGGGAACCTCCCTGGCTCCTGTGAACTCCCCGAGCGTTTCCTCAGTGAGACCGTGTGTTCTCCATGATTTGGCACACATGGAGCCACACGTTCATGTCCTTCCGTCTGCTTATGTGATGCCTGCAGTTCCGTGTCCACGCTGGGGCTGTGTGGGTTCTGGCACATGGGCAGTCTGTCTGCACCCCGGCAGCCCCGGTGATGCCTGGCATGCGGTTCCTTTCGACGAGGCCCTAGGAGTGGGATTCCAGAGCAGGCCCTGCACGGTGTGGTGGATGGAGACGTGGGCACTGCCGTCTGGCCCCGTGGGTCCTGATGGGGCCACAGTGTAGGGCCCCTGGAGGACAGTGGTGATGACAGCGACCACAGGGGGAAGGAGGCCATATTCCTGGCCACCGGCGGCCGAGAACACTGGCGTAGCCCCTGACCCTCTCCCTCTGGCCAGACGTGGCAGCACCTGCGGCCTCCTGCCCTTCCCAAGGTTGGCACCGTGGTCCTGGCGCGTCTTTACTGTCCTTGGCTCTCCAGGCTTCCCAGGCCCCTGCTGGGCCCGAGGGCTTCTCCAGCCGCCAGCAGGCTGGGTTCATCGTGCAGCCCACCTGTGAGAAGGGCCTGAGAGATGCTTACACTTGGGGTGCCTGGGTCCTGCCCTGTGTGCAGATAGCGGGAAGGACACTTATCTGGCCTTGGGCAGGCAGCGCCCCGCTTGTGAGATTCTGTTTCCTGAAGTCACAAAGGTCTGCGTGGCAGATGCATCTGGCACCTTGAGGGCACAGTGCAGGTGGGCTGGGCTGAGACAGGCCTGGTGGGGCGTGGAGGCCTGGCGGCCCTGCAGCCTGTGTTCAGGCTGAGCTGTGCAAGCTTGCGTTCTTAGAGGGGGGGCTCCTTTTCCCTGACGTGACCTGGGTGGGATCTGGCCAGGACTAGGGAGCAGCTCTGCCCTTTGCTCAGCCCCGCCCCACCCCCAAGCCCCAACCCCTGGGGCAGGAGTGGGGCTTGGGGGTTAGTGTTTCTAGAAACATTCTACTGTGCCTTTAAATGTTTACCGGAAGGAAGCCGCAGAGGGGGCGGTGGAGGGGCAGGACAGAGCAGCCACAGGCGCATCCGTTGGGCTCCATGGGAGAGTCCTGCCTATACCCCTCCCTGCCCCCATCATGGCTCCCAGCGTGGCTGTGAGGAAAGTGAGGCTGGGCCCTGGAGGCAGCGTCTATATGCTTGCATGAGGCCATGGGGTCCAGGGACTGTGTTCTGCTCCTTCTGAGTGGGGGTGGGGGGGTTTGCTCAGAGTGGAGAAGCCCTGGTCAGCTCCAGGGCTAAAGCTGCCTCGCCCGCTGTGCCCACAGCCCGGGCACAAGGCCAGGGTCCACGTGCCCATTCACACCCGGAGCTTCCTGGGGGGACGTGCTCGAGCTCCTGCCCCGCCCGCCCCTGCTCTGGGACAGGGCCCATCCCCAGGGGCACTGGGCCCTCTCTGCTCTCTCAGGTCGCCTGCTGTATCAGAGGTCCTTTTCTTGGTGCCTGGTATTGATCTCCAAGACCAGAGGTGAGGAGAGGAAGCTGACCAGGTGGCCAGGACCCAGAGGGAGGTCGGGGCACCGGACATGCTGTGCTGTGCTCTCCTGGCCCCTCTGCAGCCCCAGGGTGGGAAGGGTCAGGCCAGGGCCTGGACAAGGCCTGTAGGACTCTGTGCCCCCTGGGTCCTCCTGGCCCACCCCCCAGAGGTTTACAGGTCCCTGAAAAAGCTCAAAGAGACAATTTTGCAGAATCACAGTCCCTGTGTGAGGACACCCCACCTGGCCCCAGAGAGCTCTGTCCAGAAGGGGACACACTGGGCGTGGGACTGTAGCAAGGAGACACACACATCTCTGAAGGTCAGCCGCTCGCCTGCGACTCTTAAATCCTGGTTGCTTTCTTGTAATGACTCTTGCTAGTGTTGCTGAGTTTACATGGAAAAGATGAAAAGCCTCTTCCTGCATCTTGGGTCCCAACATCCTCGGGACCCCAGTCTGTGAGGCTTCTCTCTTGTTCAGAAATTCGGGAGGGGTTTGAACCTCAGTGCACTAACGGCTGTCCTGGAGGGGTTTGAACCCCAGTGCACTAACGGCTGTCCCTGAGTGTTCAAGCCTTTTTACTTCGGCCGCTCCCCACCAAGGATGGGTGTCAGGGTAACACACAGTGAGCCCCCCATGGGGCCGGGGTGAAGACCCACAACCACAGAGCACAGCGCTGATTTCTGTCACTCGGGCTTGGAGGAGGGTCTTGGTCTGACTGGTGGAAATTATTTTGTCTATAAAGACACTACTTGAAACCTTCTAAACTCAACATTTTTTGCAACCTGACCTTTCACGTTGCCAGTGCACATATGCCAGTGACCATCTCTCCTTTGTGATGGCTTCCAGCTAGGATGACACTGGCCGCAGGTGACGAGCGTACTCACACACCCTGCTAGCCTCAGTGCTGGAGGCAGGGGCGCCGGCAGGCGAGCGGCGGTGCTGCCTTTGTCCGTCGCTCCACATGACTGCTGCTTCCTGCCTGTGGCCCAGAGTGACCGCTCAAGCCGTCTTCACGCCCATGTACCCGTTGAGGCTGGGGTACCTGCTTGACTCACAGGGTGGAGTCTTGTGGCTGCCCCTAATTGCAAGGAGGCTGGCAGTCGAGTCCTGAGGTGAGCAGTGGGCCAGGCCCAGCCTGCCCTAGCTGGGAGGTGGTGCAGCCCGGCGCTGAGACAGGCCCTGGGGCCTTCATAGGGCCATGCGTGCAGTCCAAGGACTCCTACATCACATTTGAAGAGAAGCCGCCGTGGAGAAATGCCTGCCCGGTCGCTGAGCAGGACAAAACCGTGCCCTCCTCTCTCCAGCCTGTGCCTTGTGCTTCCTGCTCTGAGGAAGGTCCTGGGGTCTGTGTCCCCCGAGGGGCTCCCGGCTGAGCTGCTGCAGCGCTGGGCATAGATGGGGCCTATGTGGGGCTGTCAGGCAGCAAGCGCCCAACAAGCTAGGTTCCCCGTGCTGTCCAGAAGTCCAGGCTCTCGACTGCTGCTGTGGGTCTTTGGGTTTTGACAGGCGCACAGCTGGGTCCCATGCAGACCTGGACATCGGCGGGATGGCCGTCTGTTCCTTTCCCCCTTCTGCGCCTGCTGAAAGGGCCCGGGCGGGCCCCTGCTGAGCCCCAGGGGGTGCGTGGAGGTGAGCCCTGGCCTTGGGGTGGGGAACCCGATGTGTCTAGGCCGCTCTGAGTCAGGCTCCCTGTTACTGCAGTTGGATATGTTCCTAATGTTGGTGGGGAGAGACCATCCAGGCTTCCCCAGGGAGCAGGTGCCCACTGGAGGGGCAGCACTGCTGGACCCCGAGAGCTGCCTGGGAATGCTGTGTTCCTTGCGCCCTGGAGTGAGGACCCTGGGTCGGGAGATGGTCGCCACTGTTGTAGCCATTGCCTCAACCCCCCGAAGCTCGGGCCGGAGTCCCGCACCTGCTCCAGGGGCAGAGGCCAGAGCACCGGGAAAACCTAGTGGCCCGAGATACCCAGAACCCCCCGACAGCCCCAGATGGGTGATCCATGGACCCTCTCTCAGGCTTTGCCACCCCCCCAGAGCTGTGTGGGTGTGTGTGGGCCCCCCAGGAGGGACGGAGGTTCCTGTGACCTGGGCCGCGCCCCCTCCCCCCCCGGGGGACATTGCTACACAAGTGAGGGTCCTCTGAGGCGATTTCCTGACTGACAATGTTCAGAACCAGGTGGAAATCCTGGCTTTTCTTGACTCAGATTTGGTGGGGGTCTTTCAGACAGGCGTTCTGCAGCCCATGGGAGCAGGTGGGAGAGAGCAGCTGGTGGTCCCCTTCTGTCCGTCCTGTCTCCTGAGCTTCAGGCTGCCCGCCCAGACCCCCCTGACTCCACCTCCCCACTCCCAGGGCCGGCCTGGTGTCTTGGAGGCCCCAAGGCTACACCCCACCTCCATTGTGTCATGCCTGCATGGGGAGGGGGCTTAGTGGCCAATGACTGGACAGTCGCCCAGCCTTCTGCCCCCCTGGCATCCCTGTGTTCTGGAGGAGCCCCCACCAGGCTGGGCCGTCCGTCCACAGCCAGGCACACGTTCAGCCGTCATCCTGAAACCCTGTCAGGGCGTAAGCACAGCCTTCGAGGGCACCCACCCCTGCCTGCCTGGACGCATGCCCGGTGGTCTCTTTCTGCTGCACCTTTGTGGGCCGCTGCGTCCTGGCAGACACCCCAGAGGGAGAAGAACCACAGGGAAAGCCCCGTCACCCTGTTGGCCTTCTCTGGGCACCGTGTGTCCTCCCTTCCCCCCACTTCTAGTCCTGTGCGCTGAGGGGGGGGGGGCGGCCCCAGCCCCCTCCCTGTTCTTGCTGCCTCTTCTCTGGGCTTGCCAAGAATGCCGGGAAATTAGGGGGAGGGGACACAGGAAATGCCTCCATCCCTCTAAGGACAGCTCCAGCTGCAAGTGGAGGGAGCTGGGGGAGGGGCGCGGCCGGCGGAAAGTTGTCCCCCCGCCAAGGCCAGCCCGCACATCCCAGCCCTGCAGACAGAAGGGCTCTTTCTCCCCAGCTTTGGCCCATTGTGAGTGTCCTTTGAGAGGAGACGCCGAGGGCCGGTCACCAGTGGTCTCCTTGGCACAGGCAGGTCTGAGAGAGGCGAGGTGTCGTTCCTGCAGCCTTAACGCGGGGTCTTTACAAAGCAGGTTGAGTGGGGACCCTGCCCCTGAACCACTTAGGAAGCAGGTGCGCAGTGGTGGCCTGAGTCTGCTCCCACCCAGAGGTGCCCCCGTAAGGGCCAACCTCAGCCCCTTCTCCGGAGGCCACCCTGCATGTCACCCCCACCAAGGGAGGGCCTCAGCATACCCTGGCCTTTGTGCAGGAGCCTGTTTTCCAGGGACCACGGCCCGCCAAACAGTCCAGGATGGTAAACAGTCCAGGATGGTGCTCCCGGCCTTCTCACCCCTCCGGTGCTGTGGCCTTGCTCCTTCTTGGTGGCTTCTCCCGGAAGTGTCCTGGGGAGGCCGTGTTATGTGACATCTCACATGCACCGCCTAGAAAGATAAACCCAGTCTAGAAAACACTGAGGAGACAGCTACAGTATAGATACTTAAAAAATGCACTAGGAGACCCCCGTCATCCAATTAGGTCGTTTGAACTCCAGTCTTAGAGTTGAGGGTCAGAGCCGAGGTGGACTTAGTGGACACGGGAGGGGGGCATGGGCATCCCTGCTGTGACCTGGGCCTCGGCAGAGCAGGCCCAGACCCACTGCCAGGGCTCAGCCACGTTGCTGTGGTGGGAGGCGGGGCTTTCCAAAACCATGGAAACGCTTGTGTTCCCTGCTCCCACTGGCTCTAACACCAGCCCCAGCTGTCTACCCTTAGTCCCAGGGCCTGGAGGGGCTGCTGGTCACCCTCCCCCTCTGCCGAGGAGAAGGTACAGGAGGGCACCTGTTCTTATTCCCCAAGTGAGCTGCTGCTTTGCCAAGAGATCCCCGAGAGAGCCCTTCCACCCCCGTGTGGTCCTGGCTTCATGCAGTGAGGGAAGGTGGGGACGGTGCCGGGCCACTGTTGCCATTGGCTCTGGGGCCAGGTCCTATGCCCGTTCCCTGGTGCAGGGATGTCACCTGGACACTGGCCTGGCGGCCTTAGTGCCCTGGCGGCCTTGGTGCCCTGAGCCCTAGCCGCCTCCATCCCCCAGGCCCTGGTCCTGGGTGGGCCTCTTGCCGTGTCAGGGCCTGGAGCCTGTCCTTGGGAGCGTTTGGGGTCTTGGAGCCAGCTGACCCATTCTTGAGTTGTGACGAATTCTGCAGTTGGGAGGTGTCACGGTTCCTGTCAGAGGGTGGGACACGTTCTGGTAGTGATCCCACTACCCGAACTACATCGCGTGTGCTCTGCTGCTGGCTGCTCCGAGGCAGCGGGGCTGCCCCATGTCGCCCGTTTCTCAGAGGACCAGTCAGGTGTGGTCTGAGGTGTCTGGGTTCTCCCCGGTGCCCCCCTACCCCACCCCCGGCTCAGGCTCCATGGCACACACAGTCCTGGCTCTCCTCAGGGTCCCTGGGGGCCAGCTTCCCCTGAGCCTGAGGTGGCTCCCCAGCTGCTGGGCAGGGCCTGGCAAGAGCCCTTGTCCCCCACCCACAGGGCAGTGACAGCCTCAGGCTGGAGTGCTGGATGCCCTTGGAGACCACTGTCCTGTTTATCAGTGCATGAAAGCGCCTGCCATTTTGTGGAGTGAGTGTTCTGTCCGTGTATGGGGAGGGGGGGGCTGTCCTGGAACCACTCTGGGGGCCCTGCCTTCTGTGTGCCTTTCAGAGCTGGGCTCCAGCTCCTGGTCTCCACATTCAGAACACAGTCCTGTCGTTGCAGACCCTTGAGCCATCTTCCAGCCCCAGCACTGGGGATGCACTGGGGACTGACCAGTCAGCGGTGTCTGGTCCCTTGTCAGCCTCGAGTTCTGAGCTGCCCTGCACAGCCGGGCACTGCCGCCCGTCCACTCGGGCTGGCTCAGTGTTGTGTCGGTTTCTATGGAGAGAAAACATCGAGGGCGTCTGCGAAGCCTGGGAGGAGGCCGAGGCGCCAGGAAGCAAAACAGACCCAGCGGCGTGGGCGGGGCTGGCTGCTGGTTTCCACTTCCTGGCTGGGAAGCAGAAGAAAGTGTGCTGTCGCTGGGGTTGCCTGTAAGGCCAGGACCAGACCTTCAGCAAGAGTGGGACCTGACCCTGGGGGGACCTGCCCAGAGGGACCTTTAGGCAGCCACAGAGTGGAGAGCAGCCCCCCCGGGAACCCCTGTCTTGCTGGCAGGAGTGTGCAGCTGGGCAGACGGCTGCTGAGGGTCTGGGGCCAGACCGGCTGTGCTGTGGTATGACCGGCTGGTCTTTCTTACTTGCTCTACACGCCTCCCCCGGACCCCACCTCCCATGCCCTCCTTGCCTCAGCCTCAGTGCTCTGTGCTGGGTCCTGCTGTCTCTCAGGGCCTCACAGGCAGGGGTGTGGTGGCCTCTGCAAAGGTGAGGGGCTGAGGCCACCTCCCCCTGCTTGTCACACACTGCTGCCTCTTGGCTGCCAGTTCCTTAGAGTCCCTCCAGGGGAACCTAGGCCCTGACGTGGCCCCTCCCTGGCCGACAGCAGGACCCTCGGGAGGTTCCCCAGGTGCAGTGCTGCACAGGGCCCCCTGAGATCCCCCTGCACCCCAAGATCTCCCTGTACCCCGAGATTTGCCAGGGTGAGAGTGGACAGCAGTTTCGGCCATCCTCGTTTGGGGGCGACTGTCCTTGCAGTGTGGCTGGGTGGAGAGGGGAGTTTAGGGATAACACTTCTGCTTTTCTGTACAAATCACCCCAAAACTAGAACTTCTGAAGATAGAGAAGAAACTTATTTTTTGTCATTTGAATGAGGTGCCCAGAAAACATTTTTGCTGTCACTGAAACAGTTTTATTACTTCGTGCTTGGATCTCCTGGAACATTCTTGAGTAGTGGTGGTAGATGGTGTGTTGTGCTCTGGCCCAGCAGCTGTGGAGCCGTTTTTGTGGAAACAAGCTGACTGTGTGTGGCGCGGGTGCTGCCTGGTGTCTGGTGGGTTTGCCTGCCCTGCCTCTGCCGGCTGAGTGTGCATGGGAAGGCGTCAGCACGTGGGCTTGATTTCCTTTGGAAGGTTTTGTTTTTTAACAGATTAGAAAATGATTTCCACGTTCCCATGTCGCGTGAGCAGAGGCCCTCAGCTGCGAGGCTCCCAGCAGGGTGGCCACCTGGTGACACTCGCAGGTGCTCCGGGCTCCTCTGTGTGGCTGGCTGTCAGCTCCAGTGTGGCCACTGTGGGAAACCCTTTACCCTGAGCTCTTCCGGGACGAGTGAGTCTGACCTGGGCCCTCGCAGGCGCCTCCTGTAGGACCCGTGTGGACATGTTGCGTCCAGGGGTGCCAACGGGAGTCACGGGGCCCTTGTCCAGGAAGCAGGAAGAAAGTACAAAAGCTGTTCGCCAATGCCCCTCAACTTGTCTTGGTGGGTTTTATGGCTATTTAGCACATTGTGGACCAGTGACGCAGATTTGCGTCTCTATATTTAAATGCCCCGTCCTCAATATGTTTGTCATGTCAAGTACAGAAAGAGTAAAAACTTTAGTGTCTGCCGAAAGTGTCATCGCTTATCTTCAGTGTGCTGTGCCAGTGTTCCACGCACACATGAGAACGTGTGCATGTTCTGCACAAGACACGGGTCCCTGAAACGGCGCAGTCTGCTTTATGCCAGAACGTGCGCCTGTCTCATTCTGAGCAGAGCAGGAGACCGCGCAGCTGTGCTGGTTCACATGTTGGTCCCACGACCTGCACTCGAGAGCCCGGGACGGGCTACGGGGTCGCCTTGTCCAGCCCTCCTTCCTTCCACGGTTTGGTGTCCGGCGTGGGTCCAGAGACAGGGAGCGCTGGCCGAGTGCGGGGTGTCCGCCTGCTGTCTGGTGGGAGCCCTGGCCTCTTGGGTCCAGGAGCGCCCATCCCTCCATCGCGGGCCCCTACTCTCTGCCCTCCACCTGCCTTGTCCTCCTGGCTCGGTGCACGCTCCACTGTCCCATGTGACTTCTTGTAAAATGCCATCTTATCTGAGATGAAATTGTCAAAATCCCAAGATGGTGACAGCAGAGCCTTGAACCCCGTGTGTGCGGGGTTGCATGCCCATGAAGCCAGCCCTGGATTTTAAAGTAACCAGCAGAGGCCCAGCTTGTGAGCCCAGGTTCCCACCCTCCTCTTGTGTCTGGGAGCTGTGGCCGATGTCCTGGAGGGCTCGCGATGTCCTGGAGGGCACCCGGCTCCTTGCCTGGGCCTGGCGCTGTGTGGATGCCTCTTGGGGATATTTTTAATTAGATTTTAAAAATGGGAGAGTGTTGGCCCCAGCCAGGAAAACCTTCAATCTGGAGAGAAATGAGACCTCCTAGCTTGGGCATCATGTGGGTCTCTCCTGAGGGTGGCGGGAGGGGCTCCCCAACAGGAGGGTGTGGGGTTGCTGCCGGCTGCCTGGCCCTGTTGGGAGCAGGCTCCTCATCCCTCCTGCTGTCTTTCTCCAAGCCCCCCCTTTGTGGCTTTGCTGTGGGGGTGCCACTGAGGTCCCTGTTTCCTGTGTGTGTCCCGGGAGTGGGGTCCGGCGCCTGTGGTTCCCTCACTTACCCCAGGTCCCTTGCCGCCACTGCCCCGGCCACAGCAGCTCTTTTTGGAGTTGTGTCAGTGCCGGAAGTCATGCTTGCCCTGCTCAGGTTTGGCCATAGTTGGCCCACTGGGGTTGTGGCAGTACCCTCAGGCCTCTGGGGACTCTGGTAATGGGAGCAGGACCCGGGGTGCAGTTTGGGACTTAATTCCAGGCTTGGTGCCCTTAGTCCTTTGACCTTCCAGAACCCACCACCCAACCCCGGTGAGTTCATGCTGACAGCTGACGCTGGGCTGTGGGGTGTGTGGGCGGGGGACCCTTGCTGGGCCCCCACCCCCCAGCTGCCAGGCTCCTCCCCCTGCCCCCCACCGCCCGTTTCTGTTACCATTGAGCCGTTCTGAGTGACTCACCGCAGGGCGGGGTGGAGCCTTTGTGCTGGGAAGAGGGCTGAGCCCTGAGGCTTTCTGTGTGCGGAGGCTGCAGGCTCAGGCTTGCAGCTCCAGGCCCAGCTGCTGCTCCTGCCGGAATGAGTGGCGGTGAGATGGCGCCTGGGGAGGTGTGTGGCTGGAACACAGCCCGTGTTGGGCCAGGCTTCCTGGGGTGGGAGCTCAGCAGCTCTAAGCTGTCTGTACGGCACTCGGGCGCTTGGGCCTCTCGCCTGGGCTCCTCAGCTGTGCTGCCCCGTCCAGCCTGCCAGCCTGCCTGCCAGGTCCTCTGAGATGAAACACTTCCGCCTCCACTCAGCAGGGCCTGGGGAGGTCACCAGAAGGCAGGAGCACTGGGTCCCAGAGGCCCCGGTTGTGGCCCCGCTTGAATTCCCTTTGGGTGCACCTGGGGTTCGCAAAACCTCGGTTTCTGCCCCTCGGCCAACCCCCTCAGCTAATGTCCTGTACCGACGTGCCCAGACAGTGGGGCGGGGCGCGGAATGCCTGTCTCTTCCACTGAGGACCTGTACTGGGGCTGCCTGTAAACCACCTCGCCAGCCAGGCTGGATTTGGGGCCCAAAGAAGCTTCTTTCCATACTGTGAAAGGCCTTGTCAGGCCCCCAGGGCTGGGGCCAAGCTGACAGTTCCCCAAAAGTTACCGTGCGGGGGTCCACCCAAGTCCTCGCCAGCCCTCCCTCGTTTCATACTGTGTCCCCCCACACCGACCTCCAAAGCACCCCCCCTGAGGGTCTTTCACCCCTGACGGGCTTCAGACAACTATGTGTTGTGACGCGTGTGCACATGTATACACAGGGGTCCGCGTGCCCACATGTTCCCTGTCCGAGTGTGGCAGGTGTCGCTGTGGGTCAGGGACGAGGCCTTTGTCCTGGGCACAGGGTCAGGTGAAAGGAATGGGTGGGAGGTGTCCCTGTGGGTTTAAGGAGAGCAGGGGAGGGCACCCCTCCTTCCACCCGCAGGCGTGCAGCTCTGTGGAGGAGGTGGGTGGCAGAGCCTAGGGCACGGGGCCTTCAGAGGGTCACTGGTGCCTATAGGACACAGCCGCTGTCCACGTGGGAGGCTTGGATGCCATGGAGGTGTCAAGGGTGGCGTCTGATGAGCCCACACACCTCCTGGCAGCAGGTATGAGTGTGACACACGCCAGGACCTGGGCCAGACGTGGGGAGAAGCAGGCTGGGCACGTCAGCAGTGGGACTCAGGTGACGGCTGCGTGTTTCTGCTGCTTTCCGCATCAGGGAGAAAACGCTCTGGCCCCATGCAGCCGGGGGTCCCAGCCAGAGCCGCTGGTGTCGCTGGAAAGTTCTTCGTCCGACAGAGGGCCTAGCCTTTCCCGTGCACCCGGCGCTTCTGGCAGGGCCCAGGGCCCTTTATCTGGACACCAGCGTGCCCGTGCTGGGCCAGGTCAGTCCGCGCCCACCGTGTCTTGTTGGCGTTCTTTGTGTCAAAGGCTTGTTGGGCAGGAGGGCAAGCCATTCTTCCTGGGGGGCCTTTGCGGGGCACGGTTGTGTCAGGCGTGGGTCAGCAGAGCCCTGCCGTCCTATAAAACATCCTCTTTTCATTAAGGCCGACTCTTAGCCCGCCCGCCCGCCTTCCAAGAACTGCGACCACAGCCTCCGGTGCTGTGTCCGCATTTTTCTTTCTGCAGCTTTTCCTCTCATTCTGGGTGGAGAGCTTTGTCTCTGGCGAGGGCCTCGCCCACCCTCCCGCCCATCAGGCGCTGGGGAGAGACCCATTTGCTCACCAGCCCCCCAAAAAATGAGAACAGTGTTGAAGGGTTAAAATAAGCCCAAAAAACAAATACCGTGGATGTTCAAAACAGCTTTATTGTTCTTGGGGTTCTGGATTTGTTTGTGTTTAAAAATCCTTTTAACAGTTACTTTCGAGTTAGTGAAAGGAAAAGAAAGATTCCATCCCCCTCCCTAGCCATCTGGTTCTCTGATTCTAAAAGTGAGGTTTTGGGGGGTGTGGGAGGCCCTGGTATCTGGAGGGATGGTGACGCTGAGGGGTGCCGTCTTGGAGGAAACGGCTTCCGGCCTCGCTTCTGACCTGGGTCCCAGCGCAGGTGAGCCCCTCTCCCCTCCTGAGGCAGCTGGGCCCCAGGGCCATGTTTGCACCCTACCTGCCCCAGGATTCTGCAGAAGGGACTGCATGGTGTCCCCTCCACATTCTCTGGTTTCTTTGTGTTCCGACAGATGGGGGCTGGTGGGTGGTCTCGACCGCTGGGGCCTCTGGGAGCTCCATGATGCGAGGGTCCAGGGTGCCTGGGGAGGGCAAGTGCCATGCGTCGTTGTGAGTGTCAGGGGAGCTTTCCTTAGAAAAGACAACTGATTGTCGTCAGTGGAAGTAGGAGACATGCCCTGCTGTGTCCACTTCACTTTAGAGTTTGGGGTTGTCTTGTAAATTTATTCTGCTTCCTCTGTACAATAGTCAGAAAATAGGTTAATTTAAGCTAAGTGTTACACAAAACATGAACTATCGTGTAAAAATAGTAATGGTACTTGAAAAAGTAGCTTTGCAGTTTCTGAACTGTTAGGTCTTCAGGAACGGCCATAAGCAGAGTGGGGGCTACTGTACGGTGGGGGCCTGCGCACAGGGGTGGAGTTCACCCCTAGGGGACAGCTGTCGGGTTCAGCAGGACTTTGTCACAGAGCATCCTACTCTGAGGACAGTGCCTCAGGCCACATGGGTCCGTTCCCCTGCCCCAGGGAACAAGCGCTGATTCCTGCTGTGCTGGGGGCGCTGGACTGTGAGCAGCACTTGCCCCCTCTGGGGCCATGGGTCCACCTGCAGGACGGGTGACTCCCCGTGGTGGGAGGTCCCAGCAGAGTGGGGTGATTCTGGTGAGTGATACGTCCCGGCCACGTCTGTGCCCAGGGCTGCCTGCAGAGGGTCCTTTCCCGTCACGCAGGTGGTCCATGTCGACTGGTGCAGCCGCGATTGGCAATTGCTGTTCCAGACACTTACTCTCTTCTGGGGACCCCAAAGTGCTTCATCGTGAGCGTCACGTTTGTAGGAATTGAACAGAGCAGATACTGAAGTTGAGATTTTACAGCCCTGGGCACCTCTGCGCACGCTCACAGCACGTGGGTGCTGGTGTTGACCTTGAACCTCAAAGGTCAGGCTGCTACCCAGTCTCTTGCTGAAGGAGGACAAGCAGGGAGGCCCCTCACATCTGCAGCCTGAGGACCCGCCTCCCCAGCTCCGGAATGTTCCCCCATGGCCTCCAGTGAGGCCCTGGCGTCCCTCCTCACTTCCCTCTCATGGCAGCCGGCTCACGTTTTCATCTCCTTTTCCTCTGCTCTGCATTTGGGTAATTTCTTTGAGAACTGTTGCTGTTCTGGAAAGTTCAGCTCCTTTTCTCCGGTCTGCCTGGTCTTTTTTTATGTCTATTCTTTAATACTCACTTTTCTTCTTTAGCATTCACTCATTTTGAGCCAAGTCTTGGTGAGTGTCCCATTGCCGCTCTGTCGGAGAAGGCCCCAGGGTCGCTCCCCACTCCGTGCGTGGCTGTCTGCGTGGTGCTGCTCCCAGGAGGGACCGGCCCTTTCTCACGTCTGCTCCACTTCCCGGTCTCCTGGGTGGGGCGGGGACTCAGTGATGTCCCCCTCCTGGCACCAGCGGGTGTCCCTGGGCCAGCACAGCTGACACGTGATGTGGTATTAATTCCTTCATCCTGGCTCCTGGGACTTGGATATTTCCTCCTGAGCTCAGCCCTGTGTCCAGGCAATGCCGTGTCGTTGCCTCCGACGTTTGGAGTGTGTTGTGGAGGTGGGCTCCAGGCCCCCCCACCCGTGGGGCTGAGAGGCAGGCATGCGGCGTGCTCCCCCAAACCCCTAGCTGTTGTGACAGCTACACCTGACATAAGGGAATTGTGGGGGCCTGATGCTGTCTGGCTAGACATTTCCGTGAAAAGTTTTCACGTTTTTATTTGTGCTCTTGGCTGTTTTTCTGCTGACTGCACTGCTGAGTGACAGGAAAATGACAAGCATGCTAGGGAGCGGCCCCCGAGTCCTTCCCTGTGCTGTCCCCAGCCCGTCCTGGAGCTCGGTGGGACTGTGGTCACTTACATGCATACACCTGCGGCACACTCACCCACCTGTCCTCACACTGGGGATGAAACCCACCTGGCGTCCGCCTCAGGGACTGGGAATCTCAGTGGGTTGATGTGATAAAGTCCTAAGTGTGTCTGTCATTATTCTTCACCCGGAATCTGTGGGTGACATGAATCCTTGGTGCGACTTTTGTTCTAAATCTGCAGCTACTCTGACTAGAAATGTCACTTCATAGTTGAATTCCATGTTAAAATCTGCCCATTGAAAAGAGAAGTGCTTTTAAGTTTTGGGTGCGTTAGAAAATAGATGCGTTGTATTAAGATTCCTGGATGTGGTTTTCATATGACATCTGTAACTTTTTTAAAAACGCTCCATTATACTCGGATGTGTTTTTGCTGATTTATAGGAACGTCTCATCACCTCCTGCTCTGAGGCTTCGGTCTGGGGGTATAGGCTGATTCTCACTGGTGTGGGGTCCCTGAGGCTGGGGTGGGGGGCGAGGGCTGTCTTGTCTCCTGAGTGGTTCATAAGGTGGTGGTGGGACCACAGGCGACACCAGAGTTGCTTTTGCACAATGCACTGCCCCTGGGGGCTGGGAGAAGCCATGTGGCCAAGTCCTTGCCTGGAGACCTGGGTCGTCAGGCACTGAGGGTCAGGGGACAATGGGGAGGGGCAGGGAGTGGACGCCAGCCCAGTGGCTCAAGAGTGCGAGTCTCAGGTTGGGTGAAGGGGGCTCGGGCATGCTCCTTTTAGCCCCTTGCTGTGCATGGTGGCAGTCGCCGGCAGCACCATCTGCCCCAACTGTGAATTGGCTCCAGGTTTGAGAGCCAGCTGGGTGGAGCTCAGGGACCACATGGACACCCTGGGCCCTCTCCCCTGGACTCCTGGCTGCCCCACTGGGCGCTGAGTGGGTGCTGGCCCCGTCATCTTGCCCGGGGCCAATGTAGGGTGCCAGTCCGTTGCCTAGCGTGGAGCAGCCTCCAGGAGTCCGTGTTCCCATGTCCCCAGGCCAGCTGCTCATACCCTCCCTGAGAGCCGCCTGCACTCCTAGTGGCCAGTCCCCCTGGCTCAGGGGGAGCGCACGGGGGTCTGCATCAGGCCAGGCCCCGCCCTCCATGGAGTCCTTGTGGCCACAGCTTAGAGCAGGATGGTTGGCATGTCCTGGACGGGCCCATGGGATACCCCTGGTTACAAGGACTGGGACATCCCGCCCTCTGAGTGGGGCGTTCTTTTCCTGATGGTTTTGTTTGTGAAACCTGACCTTTGGGGTGAAGCCACATGGTGCTTTGGTGCTGGTGTTGAAGAGCCTGTGTGTGGTAGGCTGTGCCCTCGCAGCTCAGTGACGTGCCTGGCGGCATGGTCTCCTTCCTGGGGCAGCTCCCAGGGCTTCTCGGGCGTCATGTGCTGCTGCTGGCTTGTGCTGGGCGGACAGTGAGGAGGGGAAACCATTGACCTTGGCGGTTTGGTTTCCAACCATCAATTCATTTCACTTTTTTTAAATAGTTTTTTTTTTATAACAGCTTTATTGAGATATAATTTACATACCATAAAATTCACCCTTTCCTAGAATACAGTTCAGTGGTTTTTAGTCTATGCAACCATCACCACTATCTAATTATAGAGCATTTTCATCACTCCAAAAAGAAACCCTGTACATACTCAGTAGCTCTCACTCCCCGTTCCCCAACACCCCGCAACCAGGAACCCACTTCCTGTCTGAGGATGTGCATGTTCTGGACGGTTCATGTAAATGGGATCACATGCTGTGTGGCCTTTTGTGTCTAGCGTCTCACTGAGCATCGTGTTCAGGGCTCAACCACATTGCAGCATGGGGTCAGGGCCTCGGTCCTGATTCTGGCTGAGTCCCACTCCAGTGTGGAACGGGCCACACTGTTTACCCGCTGATGGTCACTGGGTGGCTTCCACGTTTTATCTGCTCTGAACCCTTGTGTACACCTGTTTGCGTGGACCTGTGTTTTCAGCCATCATGAGATCGTGCCCAGGAGCAGAGTTGCTGGATCATGTGGTGACTGTCTCAGTGTGTCCCACAGCGGCCACAGCACGTTCCCTCCCACCAGCAGTGTGAGGGGCCTAATTCTCCACATCATCACCAGCACCTTGTACGTTTGTCTCTTAAAAAATTACAGACACTGGGCCAGCCGAGTGGCTTGTTGGTTAAGAGCTGGCTTGGGAGAGTGAGCTTGGAGCAGCATGGCCCGGTTCGGATCCCACATGAGGGCCAGTTACGCTACGCCCTCTACAGCTAAGATGGTGAACAACAGCTCAACCTGGAGCTGGGCTGCTGTGAGTGGCTGGCGATGACGTAGGCTGCAGTGAGGCTGCGGTGAGCTTCTGTGAGCTACCATGAGTGGCTCCAGTGTCTGGCGACTGATCTGCCTCACCCGGGAAAAGCGCAATGATAATACCAACATGGGCCAGTGAAGCAACGTCCTCCACAACTAGATTAAAGAACAAAAGGACAGCAACTTGTCTGTTCCCCTTCTCCGATTCCCCAACGCTGTTCTCTCCCCCAATTCCCCAATAAAATGTTAAAAAAAAAAAATTACAGCCACCCTAGTGAGTGTGACGTGG